TCCACCCTGAATAATTAAATTGGAGTTATTAAATATAACAAGACTCAAATGTATTTTGCACACAAATAACTCATGTTATGTGTCTGGTTACATTATCATTTTATATTTAGCATACTAATAACTTATGTATTTATTCACATAATCTCCTACCCCGAACCATTTTGAAAAAACATAACTTCTAAAGGTCGTAAGCTTGGTTATGTTATCATTTTGTATGCTGGTAGTGGTACCTGCTAGTGCAAATAATGTGGAGGGGATAATGTTTCTGAGTTTTATTCTATGACAATAGGCAAGAATTTGGGGCAAGGAATAGAGACGCTAAGATACTTGATTAAGTCTTCTCTAAGTAATGTCATTTATGAATGCTAGTTTATTTTGTCTGCATGAAATTTTCATGTAGGGAGGATTATTATTTTCAAAGTACACAGACTATATTAGAATATGATATATGCTTAAAGTTAAATCAAATATGAGGAAAATGTTAAAAACGACATGGATATATACTAAGGGAAAATGAAGAAAATTATCTATATGTTGAAAATTATCTATATGTTTTGTGAATTCACAAAGACCTCTCAATCCAAAATATTGAAGCTCTACCTTTTTTTGGTTATTTTCCTTTTATTAGTGGCTTTTAAAAACACCAATGAAGAAACACAAAAATATATAATTAGAGCTATGAACAAAACTTGTAGCTTACTTGATGGAAGGAAAGAAAATATATGTCTAGATCATCATAGAAAGCATCATTTGTTCCATTCCCATGATATTGTTAATACCACTCTTCGTTGATGAATGCCTTAAACTTGTAGGTTCTTTATCGAGAAAGAAATAAAACTATTTAAAAAATGAGTTAATTGGCAATAAAAGAATAAATGATAAGTAGAAAAACAATAATGAAAAGGAAAACCAAATGAAATTAAAAAGATTCAGAGGTCAATATTATTGGAGGAAAAAAGAAGCTGGAAGTGATAGTTTTTATTATTTAGCTTACAAAGTCATCAATCCACCAAAGTCCCACATTGTTTTTATTACAAATGTTGTTAGTGTTTATATATCTTACACAAACACAACAAATTAATTGTGTGTTAAAAAGATGGATCAAAGATTAGGCTCAAAGTGTTTCATATAAAATTTTGATTAATTAATTAAATATAAAAATTAATAATATTAAATTAATAATTTATTTATTTATTAACGAAAATAATATTAATAAATTAATTATCCTAATTAATAATTAAAATCTCAAATTAATTTTAAAATGACTTGGCATTGTCACGTCATCTTGGATAGCGCCACATCATTAAAAAAATGTCTCAAATTGGAGAGGGGACTAAAATCAAACTCAAAACATAAAAAAGGGACCAAAATGGTGGTTTTTAAAATGGAGGGATCAAAACTCAAAAAAATACAAAATAGAGGGACCATAGTTGCAATTAAGCCTAAATTCTTTTAAAAATGAATGTTAAAATGGAATTAAAAATAATTATATAAAGTAAAATAGGAAAAAGTATTTTTGAAATTAAGAAAATATTCAAATAAACTCTAAAGAAATTCTCCTACTCTTTTAAAAAAAGACCCACTAGAAAAAATAAATACATTAATAATAATTTTTTTATAAATATTAAATTATATTATGTTTTATATTTTTATAAACAAGATATTTTATGTGCACAACTACAAGACAATTATATCTATTAGGAGAGAATTTAATATACAATTTTTGTTCAAAAAATTTAACATTACGTGTATAAGTTCGAACACAAAACCATTGATTAAATCTGAAGAAATATCGTGTCTCAATTAATGTTTAATAGAATAATAGAATATAATAAATTAATCTTAAAATTTATGATATCATATATCTTTAAATAATTTTATTATTATTAATATGAATTATGTTTTAAATTAGCCTAAAAAACAATAAAAATTCAAAAGTGTGATTAAAAAAAGAGTTTTAGTATGGTATAGATAAACAAAATAATGCAACTTGACATTAGATTAAAAAATAATAATTAATATATTAAAATTAGAATAAGTAAAATAATAATCATTATTAAAAAAAATTCAGTCATATAACTATTATTTTTTTAAATATAATTTTATTTGATTTTAATTTTATTTTTTAATTTAAAATTTTATTGATTTATAAATATCAACCATTTGTTTATATTAATACATAAATATAAATAAATACAACTACCTATCAATATCAATAATTTACACCTTTCAAGAGTAAATTTTTATGATGTACTCTACAATTATAGCTTAAAATTAAATTTAATTGAATGGTTATAAATAAAAATGTTAATTTAACTATTAGATTAAAATCAATTTAAAAGTTATGATGAAAAGTAACTTAAAAAAAATTACTCTTTGTGTAAGTTTTTATGACGTACTCCAAGAGTAATTTAAAGGTAAATTTTTATGACGTACTCCAAAAGTAAATTTTTTTAACTTACTCTCAATCATAATTTTTGAATTGAATCTTATCTAATGGTTAATTAAGTAAAATGCTAAGTTAACTACTATATTACATTCAATTCAAAGATTATGATTTGGATTAAGTTAAAAAAAACTTACTTTTGGAATAAGTTGATCCAATATATATATATATATATATATATATATATATATATATATATATATATATATATATATATATATATATATATATATATATATATATATATATATATATATATATATATATATATATATATATATATATATATATATATATATATATATATATATATATATATATATATATATATATATATATATATATATATATATATATATGTGTGTGTGTGTGTTGTGTGGGTTATTTGTCAAAATAATATGTAGATTATTTAATAAAAGTTAAAGTTTGTTATTTAATAATGTCGATCTTTTTAAATTATTCAAATTTATTTAATTATGTTTATATATTTTTTAGAATATTTACTTTTTCATTAAATATAAAAATATCAAAAATAAATTTATAAAAGTTTAAATAACTTTTAAAAAGAATAATTTAATAATTTATATATAAATATAATATATTTGTTATCATGTCATTATTAAGTGTATATAAAACATATAAAATCGATAAAATAATAATTTGATGTTTCTCCTTATCATTAATATTTCTTTTTTATAAACTACACTTTTGATTTTTTTATTTTATTTAATTTAAAAAATCAGTTCACTTTCACTTTTTTATATTATAAATCGATAAATTGTTAGTTTTTTAAATTATATTTTTTATTGTGAGATGTTGGATCGAACTCAAGTGTTGTCGAAGTCTATTCGCAAGTAATGCGTGTTGTAGTCGAAGTTTATTCTAACATACATTAGTCAATATTGCTAGGTTTGTTAGCATGTTGAATTGGGCCTTATTTGTAAGCCCAATTGTTTAAGTTAGCTTGTATCCTAAGTTAGCTTGTAATGAAAAATTGTTAAAAAGCCCATTAGGTTAGTGTGCTATTTTATTATAAATAGGATGCTAGTTTCTCAATCTTGACATAAGGAAAAATATGAAGATAAAATCCTAATTTCAAGGGAGAGAGGTTATTTTGTTATTCTTGTATACTTGTAATTTTGTTCTAAGAGAAAGGAAAGAATAGTAGTTTAATAACCAATTTTTGTTGTTCCTTGTTGTTTTACCTTGTTTTCTTATTAACCCTAACCCTTGTGAATTTCTTGATCATTAAAAAACCGTATATACTTTATTTAAAGGTATCAGATTCACAACATTTAACACTAATATTTAAAAAAAAAAATGTTTATACATTATTTGTCAGATTTCACAAATGTCAAATCATTTAAAAATGAAAAAACTTTCAATTTTAAATATATCAATGCGAAAAAATAACTAAAAATATTTAATTTCAAAATAGGATATTAACTCAATGAATCATACATATACAAGACTAAAACTATAACTAAACCTAATTATTTTTTGCCATAGAAAAAAGTATTTATCAAATAAATTCAATTTAAGTTATTAATTAATCATAAATATAAAATTGGAATTAGAAATTCTAGTATACTACTATTTAGAAGGGGAAAAAATTAATTAATTAAAATTTTAATTGAAATGTAGAATTTTATATTTTTAATTAATCATAACCGTTTAATTTTTATTTTAATTATTCATAAAATAATATCAACATGTAATGACATTATAAAACTTTTTCGTATATAGTAATTAATCTTATTAATTAAAAGGCAAAAGTAAATAGAAATATATTTATTCAAATAAAAGAATTTCTCACGTTATCCTCCGAAAAAATAAACATTTATTCATTTATCCTTCTTGGTTACAAAATCAAATAAAGTCCTTTTACCATATAAAATATATTTTAAAATTTAATAAAATATTAAAATTGAATAAATAATAGTTTCAGCAACAGTAACGTTTTCAGTTGTTATATAAAATAACAAAAACAACAAGAAGAAAAAAAAAATAACATTTTTTGAATTTAAAAGACAGTGGAGAAGACAACCTGGATTGCTGTTTTTCTTTGCTTCTCTCACTCATCTCAATGATTCTCAATTAGATTTCTTCATTTTTCTTCTTCTTCAATCCCAAAAAGGTCATAATTCAATGTTTCTTCCAACTCTACATCTGAATTTCTTATGTTTCTGCTTGAATTCAATGTCTTTTTGATGACCCATTTTAGAGTTTTATTGCATGCTTATTGTTTTTTTGGTAAAGTTGAAATTTTTATTCATTTTGATTTTTAAGGATCTTATTTTTGTTGATTGAATTGGATTGAATTGAATTGAATTGGGAATTTGGGTTGAAGTTTTGGTGTCATTATCTTTTTTTGTTGACATTTGATCCATTTTCATATAAAGGTTATTCTTTTACTTTACTATTAAGATTTGAGATTTTTTTGTGCCTTGAAGATTGCCTTAGAATCGAAAAATATAAGCACTTTTACATGTAGTTGAAAAATTTAAGCACTTTTTTTCTGCAGGGAAGTTGAAGTGAATTGGATTGATGAACAATGCAGCGATCGCGAAAAGCTCTTCTACAAAGAAGAGCTATAGAGAAAGCTGCAAATGGAAGAAACTGTGTTTATAAAGTTTCTTTGTCTTTGGTTTTTGTTTTGTGGGGGCTTGTTTTGCTCTTTAGCTTATGGTTAAGTTCCGGCAATGGATATCGAGGTATCTCTTATTCTCCGATCGCCTTTTTTATAGATAATGTTAGTATATTTTCTCTTTCGCCGGAGTTTGAACTTAGTCTGATCCTTTAACTCTTCGAGAGACGGCTAGATGACCTTGTTTTGCGATTGAACCGCGCGAGTTTTGGCGTTAGTAGACCTATGTGATGTTTTTCGAGAATAGATCTTTGAAATTGATATAGGAAAGTGTTTTGTAGTTAATTTGTTAGGAGACGGGGAATTTGTCGCATGGATCGAATCTTCGTGAGCTTGCGTTGAAATTTCTGCTTTGACATCGGTGATCCACGTGTTACACAATCATATCTTTGTCGCGAGATGTGATTGAATGCATGTGTAATTCGTTTTACACTGACAATGCATACAAATTAAACTCGTTCTTATTTAGTATGCATATTCTTTATATGCAGATGCTTCCGAGGAAGTTCGAGTTATGGTATCAGACTGGAAAGAAAACGAGCACAGGCAGCGTAAAAACTCTGAATCCGACGATGAATATTTGACTAAAGGGGTTGATGTCTACATTCCTTCTAATACTTTATGCTCTGATGGTGCTAAAACTGACGATTTTATTGGCTACTCGCTTTTCGACAAAGAAAACATGAACGATTTTGCGCACAATGGTAAAGAAAAGTACCTTTCGTCTATTAGAAAGGAGCATGAAGTTGAGAGATCTGAATCTTCGGTGAAATATGAAAATGATGAGAAAATATTGGATCGTTTGTCTGCGGCCGTGCCGCTCGGTCTCGATGAGTTCAAGAGCAGGGCAGTTAGTTCTAAAATTAATTGGAGTACTAGTCCATCCGGAAGTGTAATACATCGAGTAGAGCCAGGTGGCGATGAATACAATTACGCTTCATCGTCGAAAGGTGCAAAAGTGTTAGCTTCTAACAAAGATGCTAAAGGAGCTTCTAATATCTTAACGAGAAACCAAGACAAATATCTTCGGAATCCGTGTTCTTCGGAAGATAAATTCGTCGTTATAGAACTTTCGGAAGAAACTTTGGTAGATACAATAGAAATAGCGAACTTTGAGCATTATTCTTCTAACTTAAAAGATTTTGAATTGCATGGTAGTTTGGTTTATCCGACCGATGTTTGGATATTTCTCGGAAATTTCACTGCCTCGAATGTGAAACAGGTTCAACGGTTTGTTCTTCAGGAACCAAAATGGGTTCGGTATCTAAAACTGAGTCTTCAAAGTCATTACGGATTCGAATTTTATTGCACGTTAAGCATAGTTGAAGTTTACGGTGTTGACGCCGTTGAGAAAATGCTCGAGGATTTGATATATGCACAAGAAAACGGTGATAAGAAAGTAGCAATAGCACCGTCCGATCGGAAATCGTCCAATGACGATGATGATAATGACGATATTTGGAAAATGAGTTCTGATACTTCTACTACAGAAACCTCTTCCGCGAAAGATGAAAGTGTAAAAAGAAATACTCCCGATCCAATCGAGGAAACCCGTCAACAAGTTGGCAGGATGCCCGGAGATACCGTCCTAAAGATTCTAATGCAGAAAGTTCGTTATCTCGACGTGAATTTATCGGTTTTGGAGCAATATTTAGAGGACTTAAATTCTAAATATGTTAAAATTCTGAAAGAGTATAGCAATGAGGTAAGCGAAACCGATATTGTTCTGCAGACGATCAAAGACGACATTAGGAGGTTCCTTGCCAGACAAGAAACTATAGTATGTTAAATTTTTCCTTGATTATTATTTTTTTAATATATAAATTATGAAACTTCACTATGATTTTTTCACTTTTGTAATCATTTTTTTCTTTGCAGATGAAAGATGTTAAAGATCTTGATTCTTGGAAGTTCCATTTTTCTGAGCAATTGAATCATATTCTTAGAGACAATGCTGTTTTGAGGTGAGTTTACAATATTTATGATTTTTATCATTGAAAATTAAGTATATGAGATAGTTGAATTATGAAGATTGCTATTATATAATTAATTAATAATTTTTTATTTAAATATTGCAGGAATGAAGTTGAAAGGGTACTTGAAAATCAAGTATCTTTGGAAAATAAAGGTGTATTAGTGTTTTGTGTATGTGTTATTTTTTCATTATTTGCAATATTAAAGCTATCTTTGGATATGATAATGAGCATAGATGGAGCAATTAAATCAAGAAAATTTTGCCAATGTAGTTCTTCTTGGTTTATCCTATTATTGAGTTGTAACATTATTATTTTTATATTAACTTCATAATAATCAGTTTTAAATTAAATTTAAGATGTTATAATCTTCAAGGGTAATTTTGTTGGTTACATTTTATATAGATTCCAAAACTTTTTTTTTAAAAGTTTAGTTAGTGTTTTTTTTTTAACCTTTTTTTATATTGATTGTTTTAAATTACTCTGATTTTTATTTATAAACTATGCGGAGAAAATTAGGGAATTACAACATTCACGAGTGAATATTTCAAGGTTAGGTACAACGTGGATATGATCGCTATGAGGGCGTTGATAGTCGGCCGCCCAAGGATGATATTGTATGGTGATACAACATCCACAATGAGGTAGCTAACGTCAATCGCCTTGGCGTCAACTCCGTCTTCACATGTTTAGGGCTATGTAGCCCATTAATTTTACATGTTCTCCTAATAACCCCGTCAAATAAGCAATGAAAGATTTTATGTCATTCAGGCTCAATTGTAGTTTCTTGAAGACGTCCTAAAATATGGCGTCAACAAAGTTGTCAGGGTCCATCATGACGCGATTGATTTCTCAATTCCATTGTTGCACAATGATGACCAGAGGATCATCACCGTGAGGGTTGAGTTTGAGGGTATTCTCCTCGTAGAAAATGGTATTAACCTCTATTTTCCCTTGAGATTCTCTGGGAAGCTAGAGGATACTACGTTTGCTGCAAATACCTACCTTGCGTACTTCCTCCATGAAGATTTAGAATCACCTCCACTAGCAAAGCCTCCAACAATGATGTTTATGTTGTAGATTGTGGTTTTGTCGACCATCTCTAGAGGAATATGGAGAGAGTTATAGTAGAAGTGGGATCCAAGTTTGTTTTATGTGGCCCCACAACGGGCATCACTGTACTAATAAAAAATTACAAGTGTGCATGTTCCTCTTGCAAGGACAGAAAGACTCAGAGGCCTTAGTATGTTTATAACACATTTTGGTATTAAGGGTTTTCCCATAGCGGTGAGAGTTCCTGCATGGTGGTGTTTTGAGGTGATTTAGGAGACTTGCTCATGTGAGGTGAGAGGATCTGCTGATGACCTGTGATGCTTGGGAGCCAACCTGTAACCACCGATGGTAGCGTACTTAGACTGTAGTAAGCATGGTCCTCTTTAAGGTGTAGAGAATATATTTATAACTGAGTCAAAGCAATAAAATCCTATATCTCCAATAAATTAAAAACAATTAAATATTATAAGGCATTGCCATGTAAGATAACCCAACAAATTGGACTATGGAAATTGAAGAAGTCAAGCTTGAAAGTATAAGTCTCAAAGGCAGATTTGTAAAGAGGTTTAGTTAGAAAATCATCAATCTATAATCGAGTGTGGATCAGAAAGTGTTTGATGATTCCATCTTCAATCTTTTCGCGAGTAACATGGCAGTCAATCTCGATGTGTTCGATCTCTCATGAAAAGATGGCTTACGGGAGTGGTAGATGACAGAGTTATTGTCGCAGTAAATAGAGCTTGGTTGATTGAAAGAGTAACTCAAGTCCTTGAACAAATTGTGCAGCCACTGAATCTCAAAATCTAGACTAGCTAAAGCCTGATAATCTACTTCTAAGCTGCTCCAGAAAACTGTGCTCTGCTTCTTTGAACTTCAGAAGATTAGTGATGATCCTAAAAAAACCTGCATATCTGGTAATTGATTTTCTAGAAGCAACGCAAGCCGCCCAATCAGAATCTGCAAAACCTGATAAAATTAAGTCAGTGGTTGCAGAATAAAATAAACTTCTTACATGGGCAATTTTTAAATATTGCAAGACCCAAACAACAATATTAAAATGGACAATTTATGGTTTTGAAACAAATTGGTTAAGATGTAGAACAACAAAGGCAATATCAGGTCTAGTTGTGGTTAAATATAAAAGTCTTCCAATGAGTTGTATGTATTAAGTTTCATCCTCTAAAGGAGGAGAATCAACACAGTTTGCCTTAAGGGAAGGGTCATCGGGAGTTTTAGATGGCTCAGTAGCTAGCTGTCCATAATCATCTAAAAGTTCCAAAGTGTATTTTGTTTTATTAATTAAGATAACTTTGGAAGATCTGACAACTTATATACTAAAAAAATCTAAGATTCTCTAAATATTTTATTTTAAAACAGTCATGAAGAAAGGATTTGACAGACTGAATTTCGAAAAAGTCATTTTAAGCTAAAATAATGTCGTCAACATATACGAGTAAAGTAGTAAAGGAAGAATTGTGATGTTTGGAAAATAATGACTAGTCAGCAAGAGAATGTTTATAACCTATTGAAAGTAAGGAATCAGACAGTTTTGACTATCATTGTCTGCTAGCTTATTTGAGTCTATAGAGGGACTTTTGTAGCTTGCAGACTTTGATATTATTATCAACATAGTTAGGTAAAATAGTACCTTTAGGTGACATTGTAACGCCCTGAATTTCATTAACTTATTTAATTTAATTTTAATCGTGTTTTATTTAATTATTTTCGTGATTAAATAGAACCAAAAAGTAGCTATTCGATCTGATTTCAAGAATTCGTTCTAATTTTCATTGTCGACTCAACCTGTCGAATTCCTTAAGCGATATCCCTCTTAATTTGAGAAAATACGCTAAGTATCATCTTCAGACTTAGTATGGGATTTTCAAAACTCTAGGGCAAATGCTACTCATGTTGAAACACCGCCAGACACTAGCATTTCACTAAGTGTGTTTTAGATCTCATTTCTTTATGTTGAAATCATATTGTCGAAATTTCTAGACTAACAGAGGGATCCTGAGACTGTGTATGTATGTGACTATATGGTTGAAGGAAGACTTATAATGATTGATTGATACTACTTATACCAACAAGATACATTGTATTTTCAGTAGCCTAACCAATAAGAACTTAGTAGTTAAGTGTGCTTGACTTTGAATAGTATTTGGATGGGTGACCTTCTGGAAAGTTTCCTAGAAAGCGTGTGAATGAGGACAAACCATGCTAAAAAGATTCATGTTGGTTTGTGTAGTTAGTCGTTAATCCGGAAAGCAGTCTGAGGCGTTACAAATGGTGAGCATATAACACCCGAGGCCGAAGAGGGTGCAGAGTGGTTGTCAATGCACGAGGCATGATAATGAACGACTCCTGACAGCTTATAGGCGAAAATCAAATTCACATCGAAATGAGACGGATCTTGAGGCTGCGTAGGTATGTGACTACAGGTTGAAGGAATAATTATAAGAATTTATTGATACTACATATACCAACAAGATGTATCTTCTTTTCGGCATCCTAACCAATAAGAACTTCATAGTTAAATGTGTTTGACTTGGAGTAGTATTTAAATGTGTGGCCTTCTAGGAAGTTCCTCGAAAAGTGTGTGAGTGAAGACAAAGCATTCTGAAAAGACTCATGTTAGTTTGTGGGGTCAGTCGTTAATCTTGAAAGAAGTCCAGGGCATCACATTTCATATACCAAGGGGTTCCTATGTTTAAAGGAAGACTTAAACCCATACACTTTGAGTTCACATCATACGAAATTAGAGCCAAATTGAATGCTTGAAAAGCTAGTTTACTCTTCATTGTTGAAGATTGCAGATGGTGAAGTAAGATTTTTAAAGTATGGTTCTATAGTACTTACTTATCTACTTGTGGTCGGTTTTTGTCATGAAGAGTATTGAGAAACGGGTAAGGAATTTCATTTGGATTGAAGAGCTGGACAAGAGAAAATTGGTCACAATGACATGACATAAGTGTTCAAAACCTCTTGAGAAATGAGGGTTAGGTATAAGATCCATCGTAACTTTGAATGAAGCCTTAAACTTAAAACAGTGTTGGGATATAATGGATTCTGAATAGAGGTGCTCATGGGTACGTGTAAACTCGTGACCCCACTCATCCAACCTAACCCTTATTTTAACCTAACTCAATCATGTACTGGTCCAATTCGAACCAACCCATTCAAACTCATTGTATTTAGTTCCGGTATCGGGTTTGACATTTTAAATCTGCAAACCAAACTCATTGACATGTCATGTTATATTTATTTTATTTTATTTATCAACGATCTAGCAAAATTCTTACTATGTATATCATCTTTTAATACAAGTATAATTTTTATTAATTGTAAGAAGCATATATATATATATATATATATATATATATATATATATATATATATATATATATATATATATATATATATATATATATATATATATATATATATATATATATATATATATATATATATATATATATATATATATATATATATATATATATATATATATATATATATATATATATATATATATATATATATATATATATATATATATAATTTAAATTATATTTTATACAATTTTTTTTGGACTTGATTTCGATTTTGAAAGTACTTTTATGTATTAAATAATATATTATTCGAATTAAATACTAAATTTTTATGATTTTTTAATGTTTATGTAAAATAAATATGTTAATTGAATTGACTTTTTATTTATAATTTAAAAATTATATTTGAAGGATGAGCCGCGAACCCAACCCAACTTAATCCGTTGATGAGCGGGTTAGTTCAGTTTAGATATAACCTTAGGAATACGGTTAAACATTCAACCCAACACAAACACTATTGAATTTAATTAAATTCAACCCAACCAAACTCGCGAACACCTCTAATTATAAGGATGGACTAGACTTATTAGAGCTAGAGTCATTAGGGATGGTAAACATATTAGGTACCATATTTACTCTTCTCTATGGAGTGGCATGAAAGGTTCTTTTGATGATGTAAAACTCAACTCTAATTGACTCATAGAAAATGGTAATAAAATAAACTTCTAGCTAGATTGTTGAAATGACATCCCTTTGATTGATTATTTTGGAATCACAAACATGAACCATTAGTAGCACTTACCCTTGTGCATTAGATTTTCTTACAACAATTATTATTTTTTTTAATATGTGTAAAAAGTCAAAAACAACTTATAAAAGAAAAAAACAATTTAAAAAAATAAGTTATCATTTAAAAAAAAATATCTAAATGCATTTAAATTTGAAGATT